TGCACCAATGGGGACCAGGATGACAGCGCAGTAAAAGCTTGAGAGAGAAAACAGCAACCCCGGAACAGCCGGTACACCACACTACGCCATATTACACCCCAGTCGTGCACCACACTCGTGCACCGCACTCGTACACCGCACTCGTGCACCGCACTCGTACACCACACTTGTGCACCACACTCACACACCACACTCCTACACCGCATTACACCCCACTCGTATACCGCACCCGTACGGTACCGCGCACTCGTGCGCCGCACTCGTACACCACGGGCTAGCGCAGCCTTACTCGTATGTTCGATTCGGCGTGACGAGTTTGAAGCGATTGCGCTGTGACGGCTTGACGGCAGCGGTTGCCATGCCGATCTCGTGAATCGGGTGATCGTCACGGAAATCCTAGAACCGCAGAATGCCAGAGAGACAGGAGCACACAATAACTCTAATGCCCGCCACGTAGATGATAGTCTACAGGATATAATAGTTCAATCATGTACATGTACAGAAGCCACCTTATTCGGGCAGGATAAGACCGGGCAATACCCGAAACTAGGAATTGCCCGTGACTCAGAACCTTGCATACTCATTGCATGCATGCAGCCACTTTTGTTATGCCAATCAATATCTTTCGTGGCCATTTTTCGTTGAAAAGTCAGCCGTGTCGCTCTAGAGAATTCTCTCACTAATGGGGTATTCACACGACAGGCACTGGCACGTTTTACAGGGAGTGACATACGAGAAACGTGACTGTGTGGATTCACACAGCTGCACTGGACGACAGACACGTTTGCATTTTTGAATGCTTCACCGACCAGTAGCCATGTGTATTTCAAATTTTCAAAACACACATACGATAATTATCATGCTCTAAAGAGCCGCGTAAAAAATCAAGTCTTGTTTCGCGCTTTTTGGTGTAAATGTACTCGTGCACGCCACGATTATCGTGAAAGTGGGCCCCCGACTCGCTTTCACTTTTCAGCCACTTTTCCCGTTCACAGGTAAAATACCATAGCAACTTTCCGGTGCACGTGGATTTGCCTGTCGTGTTAATACAGTCAGACCTCGCTTAACCGCACACATCTGTTTTCCACAAAAATATCCGGATAGGCGAGGGAACCGGATAACTGAACACACATACTGTATATGCATGTGGCATATCAAAAGCAATGACATCGTACATACATGTAGACGGGTCCTATGCAGTACAACTAGCGTGCACAGTATCTAAAACAAGCGAGAAAAATGACAAGTGCATGCAACTGAGTGCTGTTCACATGCACCCAGCAGGTCAAGGACCTCATTTGCCTGTACAACTCCCTGATTCTAGCTTCTGCAAGGCACATGCAACCGGATACGACGAAGCTTTTTGTACACATTTCAACTAGTTTGTACACAAAATCATGCACCGGTATGCGGATCGCGAGGTCCGGTTATGTTGTATGCATAACATATGCTGCACATCGGTAACCAGCGATTTTCTTCCGGATGGCGAGGGATCCGGATAAACGAGGACCGGATAAGCGAGGTCTGACTGTACCCCATAAAACGTAACACTTTGTCCCTCGTTTGAGATTCAATTCTTATGGTACCCACGAACTGGACACAATGACTCCGGCAGTCGCGCAAGCAAAGAACAAACTAAACGTCAAAGCACTTCCAAGCACAATGGCACACTTACGAAGATGGTATGGTAGTAACAAAACGATTGGCCTTTCAGAGCCACATATCTGTAGACACAGACATGCACAAAGACACATGCACAAACAAACGTGCACACACACATACACACACAAGCACGCGCACACACACACACACACACACACACACACATCACAAGTACCACAGACATAATTGGCAAGGGACCATCGAGACTCCCGCACACGTATGCATTGAAGTAAAATAATACCTATTAAACCTCAAGAAGAACACGACTCAGAATAGAGCACAACTGACCTTCTTTTCCAATCTGCCCGAATACCGTGGCCTTGTTTCAAAAGCATACCCTGCAAAGGTAAACACCCACACCCAGACGCACACAAACGCGCGCGCACATACACACACACACGAACGTGGCCGCACATGCGCCCAGACGACCATGGAAGATTGGGCATTGTTAATACATGTACAGACCAGTTACTACTCCATTGCCATACTTAGAGAAGCAACAGCTGAAAGGCAGTAGCGAACTTCCCTGGCACAGACCATCAGGAAACATGTCGGCACCATCACAGCAAACATGGCCTTGACACTTGTCTAGAGCTTATACGATTACATCATCGAAAGAGAAGAGTTTCACCGTTTTTGCCAGCCCTACGGAGCAAGGTCAGGCTGGCCACCTGCACATCACCTGTACGTGGTCCTATTGCATAATCTAACAAACTGCAAACCGGAATGAGAATGCTCATTCCAGCATGTGAGGTGGAATGATCATTCTCCAAAAAGAACCATTCTCAGCGATTCCCATTCTGGAATGGGACCCACCTACAGTCCATTTCAAAACTATAGACGCGTACCTAGGCAAAACCGTTATGCCAGCATCTATACCACATAAAATCTGTGATCACTTTGTGCATAATTTTTTCCAAATTGGGCGTCTGTCATCCAATCGTTTAGAAACTATATGAGAGTAATTGTGGAGCGGACCTGAGCAATATTCCGAAAACTATTCTCAAAAAGCTCCAGCCAAATTTGAAATTTTTCAAAAACCCTACGCGTCTATAGTTTTGAAATGGACTGTAACAGAATTTGTTGACCAAACAAACATGCAAGAACGAATCCCAGTGGTTCCCAGTGATTCCCATTGTGGAATGTGACCAACCAAACGCAACCTCAGGGTTCCGTGTACTCTTGCTAGCAGCGCTCCTGACCATGCTGATAACACAGACAGTATAGGAAGACGAATGCGTGCTGTTCAAATCGGCGCTTGCCACATCGGCGGGGGCACATACACCAGCACCAGCACACACACATACACACGCACGCGAGCACGCACACATGCACGCGAGCATGCACACATGCACGCGAGCACGCACACACACACGCACACATGTGTGCACACACACACACACACACACACACACACACACACACACACACACACGTACACACACACACACACACACAGAGCGAGATTGGGCAGAGAGAGACACTCTGGACCTTACCTGCTTATCTGGATTCGCCATGTGACCACCTTCCTCCAGGGTCTCATCCAGACTGGGCTAAAGGGACACAATCAAGAAAGCGGAGAGCACAACACAACACAACAGCATCACCAGCAGCAATTACACAATCTCAAACACCAGCTACTGTAATTTCACAAATTTGCGGTGTACTTTTATTTTTGGTACTTTCGGTGCGTCTGTTTCATACCTAAAATGTCAATACACCGAACAAACACTAACACAATATGAACACACATACTGTAATACAATAGAGAACTGCTTCTCTGTAACGAAAATTTCTGTTCACCTGACCTGGCCTTTTGCCCTCATACCGATAATATTGAGCACCTAAAATTTCTGAAATCAGAGTATCAGCAGCTATACCAAGAATACATTATCCCCATGAGTGTGCAACTCCAGCTACGCGGGAAAGAATTTCAAGAGCAAAAAAAGGTGAAGTGCACTCGGACGTCTCTTATCCGGACGTCTCTTATCCGGACGCCTTGGGGACCCGCCTTGCCCGTATCTCAGATGTGCCAGTAGGCCAGGGGCAGCTCATCCACCATGTTGTTTAGGGCACGCATTGCACATGTTCAGGATTTTTATTAACGGATCGATTGATGAAAATGTGTGGATTACACAGGTTGGCAACGACAAATAAGCACTTGTGCATACTTCTGAAGTACGACAAAAAGGTCGACCCCCCCAGAAAAAAATTCGGAGCATTCTCCATAGGAACTTCAGCTAAAGGTACCCGACAAGGGGTCGTAGAATGGTATTGTATTTTGAAGTTGACAGCAGGTTACAAGGCGCAGGACGCACAGTGCTCTTGACTACAACCA